ATTATTTATGGTTTACATATTATTTGCCGAATTCGGGAATTTTAGATAGAGACCATAAGTGGTATTTGTAGAAATTTTCAACTGTTGGGATACAATCATACGTATTGGGATCATTTGTATTAATGTGGACCGGAGGGAGAGGGTGATGAGCATAAGTTTCACTTTCCTTTTTTATTTCAATTCCAACTTTGGTCATGAAGAATATGTTTCTCTGTTGTCCACGTTCATAAAGCATCAGAGCACGGTGCATAGTCTCTAGATGAGTTTACAGCAGTCCCTCGTTCTTGTTATACATCCATGTTGTAGTCCGCTGTATAGAAAACTGTAGTTTCCATAGTTTCCCCACAGCAGCAGACGCACATTTATGACGTCCGCTGGCGCATCATAAACACGTCGGATAGTGAAAGTGCAGTCGGATTCTCTAAAGTACCGCAGTCCCTTCTCCTAAATCCTTTTGAATTCTCCTATCCACTATCCCTTAACCCCGTGACGTTTCACTCAGAGGTCAAGGAATAGACGATAGGGTTAGACCTTAGGAGCTGATTTTTGGATTATCCGACCGCAACCTTTGTTTCGTGAAAGGCTGGCAGAGGGTGCGGCCATAGCTCTGGGCGTGGCTACTGGGTATGAGAAATCTCCAACGAGGCGTTTTGGGGAGGTATTTTCTGTGTTAGAGTTTTACTCCCTACAGGGTGTACTTTGAGGGTTTTTGACTCTGCAGACCGTTTACATGCATAAAAACCTTCATAACACACAAGGGGACGTGTAATAACCGGAAAAGCATGACATGGGACCTTTAATATTCTGTGAAAGCACCAATAGTTAACCCCACAATATCGTGCCAGTATGGATATTGAAATCTTTGGTAAAATAAAATAGATATTTGATTTTCTTGCCCAGACAGAAGTAATAACTTAGAAACATGTGTGTCTGTGTACCTCTTCTTGTTCTAGTGCCTTGCTAAATGTGGCCGCAAAGCTCAGGTGACCCGTGATGTCCGCTGCTCTGATGAGACCCGACCATGTGACCTGATGACCAAACCACCAAACATCAAAAACTGCACCGGGCCGCCCTGCGAGCGCCACTGGACCGTGTCAGAGTGGGGGCCTGTGAGTGTCTTACTCTGCATCAACACAGATATACTGTCTGACAAGATATACAGCTCTGGAAAAAATGAAGAGACCGATGCAAAAATGTGACAAATAAAGGATTTATGATTATGATTCTAATGCAAAACCAGATACGGTTGCAATTTTATCTTATTTTTTACCAGCGCTGGATGCAGTGGCGGCTGGTGGAAATTATTTTAGGTGGGGCTATTGTAATGGTGAATAAACTACACAGGGAACATTTTGAGAAATGACCTTTTAAATGATGACTTCTGGTGATGTTAGAGATATGAGAAGACTGATCAATACCTCCATAATCTTCAGTGTGGTTAGCTATGAATCTTCCAAAACTTCCAAACACCTTGTCCTGGACATAGTTTCTTCAGTAAACTGTGCAACAGTACAGTAGGCCCACACAAACTGCAGAACACCGGTTCTTTGGGAACACTCAAATGATTGAATTCCCATTTAAAATCAGGAGACTAAATACGAACATTATATGCAGACACAGACGTGGTTCAGAAACACAGAAATATTAGAAAACAGACCATTAAGGCAAAAAATCTAGTTTGATGGATGCTGTCAAAACTCAACAACAATAATATGTGTGTGTGTGTGTGTGTTGATTTATCACGGGCACATAGTATCTGTCCCCGGCTGTTTGAAGAGCAAGCATGGGAAACAAAAGACAGCGTTTACCTGTTTGCATCCAGCTAGTCACACACACAGTTACAATCACACTCCCCGTAATTTACATCATTAATAGATAGTTTAGCTTCTCACCATCATTTGCTGTGGCCCACTGATGTTAACGATCGTAGCTGAAAGGCTGCCTGTCAAACGTGAACATTCAGCCACGTGACTCGAAAACTCTCGCAAGAGTTTTACACAAGACGGATCCTTTCTAGCCATAAACCTGCACCGGGCGCTGACATTGGCGCCCGGTGATCATCAGATTTGACGACGCTGATTGGCTGAAATTATGTTTCGGAGGCATAGTTTACAGATAGCAACAGTCAGCTGCTAGTGGCTGCTGCTGCACTGGTTGAGGGCTCCTCTCTTAGCGCCCAGAAGAGAGAGGGTAATCATACACGGGCAAGGCCAGGCAGGAAACATGTGACTTTAGACATCGTAACACAATTTTAAATGAGATTTGATTGTAGATTGTACATTTTACTGATACCAATTATATATTTACCTTGTTCATTAAAAAAAAAAATGTGGGAAGAGGTGGGGCGGCGCCCTTAGCGCTCCTATGGGCCGGCCGCCACTGGCTGGATGTGTGTTTTGCCTTTTACCACCATGCTGCTTGCTGCTGTCAATATAATATTTACCAGCCAGGACTTGTTTTCATCTTGTGTCATCATGGCTTTTATATGTCTGCCTGTGGACACATTCTTTCACCAGACAATTGTATTATGTACACCTGTGCCATTCACAGAACCAATCAGAAGAAAAGCACATTAAACCACTTTCCAGATATTCCATCTGACTCCTAGCGGAAGCAATTAGCTCTTCCATTCCCAGTCAGTGATCTTACGTTGCTTCTGAGGAGAGGAGGGAGCCAAGGCTTATATCTCCTTTTCTCTATAAATCTTGACCCGACTCTCGCTCTTCGTCTCTTCGGGTTACCCTGCATCCTCTGTGTCCTTCAGATTTCAGTGGGGATAGTCTTTGTTCCGAGTGCTATTCCTGCTTTAGCGCGATTAGCTTTTCCCTGGTGTAAACAAGACAGTGTGTCATACCTCTGTTAAATTCATAGAACATGAGATCTTGTTAGATACTTTACTTACAATAAATAAGTGTTAACATGACTTTATCTGATGTGACATGGCCTGATGCAGTTGATTCTCTCCTCTGATGTGGTGTGATGTGACGTGATGCCACTTATATTCATGCAATGCTACATTTGTATTAAATATGATGTGAGGTGATCTGACTTAATGTGACAAGCAGCATTTGACCCCAAGCTTTATTAAAAGACATGGCTCAGGAAGGCCATGATGGCAGTAGGAATGCATTCTCTGGATAATGAATCAGCTAGTTTGACCCCTGACACTCGTTGCAGTGCTCGGGGTCGTGTGGCCAGGGAAAGACGGTGCGTCACGTGTACTGTAAGGCTCCGGAGGGTCGCGTGGTTCCTGAGAACCAGTGCTCTGCGGAGGACAAGCCGCTGGCCATCCATCCCTGTGGTGAGAGAGACTGTGCTCCACACTGGCTGAGCCAAGACTGGGAAAGGGTGAGACACACATTCACAAATTCTGTTTATTATTAGACCTGAAACTGTGAATTATTTCTCATAACAACATTGGAATTATGTAATCGAACTGGTATTTTAAAGGTCACCTATTATGCAAAATCCACTTTTTCATGTCTTTTATACATAAACATGTGTCCCCTCTGTGTAAAGAGACTCTGAAATTTTCAGGAGAAAAGATTCGCTCTCTTTTTGTCCTGATCCATTTATATAAAAACCTGTCTGAAAATGAGCTGATCAGATTTTGGCCACTTTATGATGTCATAACGATTTTTTGGCTTGTGTAACCATTAGCCAATCACCAACCAAGGTAAACCCCTCCCCCCCCCCCACCACACCTTATCACCTAAATCTCCTCCTCGAGCATCATTGTGTTATTTTTAACCAAATCTCTCTCAGAGGGGCACGGGGAGGGTTCCTTATTTTCATCTAAAGTAACAGACAGAGAATCAGCACTTTTGAAACAGGGCTGAAACAGAGGGGATTATGGGATGCTACTAGTATCTGTTTGGTATTTCGAGCCAAACACTTCAGAGACATGTTTTGTATATATCTGAGACCTATAATATATTGATGAAGAACAGTATAATAGGGGACCTTTAAGGGTTAATATTCTCGAAAGGAATAATGATTTGGTAGTTATGTGTTAAAAGTGAGGCACAATTGTTGATCTCTTTCAAAAGAAGTCCGTTTGAATGTCTTGAAGAGAACAACAAAGTCAGATATGGATAACCTTTTGTCTGTAGTGTAACACAACCTGCGGTCGTGGCGTGAAGCGAAGACTTGTCCTGTGCGTCGGCATCAGTGGTGGAAAGTTCCAGACCTTTGATGATGAGGCTTGTGGGGGAAGCGAGAAGCCCGAAGAGGAAAACACCTGCTTTGAGAGGCCGTGCTTCAAATGGTACACCACCCCCTGGTCTGAGGTGAGGTCTGCACCCACACAAACCACCTCTGATATGAAGGGTTTATCATCAGTGTATAACGGCTCTGTTCCTGTGTGTCCTCAGTGCACTAAGACATGTGGTGTGGGTGTGAGGATGAGGGACGTCAAGTGTTACCAGGGCAGGGAGCTGGTCCGCGGCTGTGACCCCCTCACCAAACCTGTGGCCAAACAGACCTGCACTCTGCAGCCCTGCCCCACTGAGCCCCCAGGTAACACTTCAGGGAACCCAACCTACCTTTTCATCTAAACTTTAAAAAAACAAGGGCCTACAGAAGCTCCAAGGTTTGATCTGGCAGCCCAAATGCGGAATCCGCTGACCAGCACGCAGCTCTGAGTCCAAATAGCGGAACTTTAAAGGGGACCTATCATGCAAACTGCACTTGTTGATGTCTTTTATACATACATATACCGTCCTGGTTGAATGCACTTATTGTAAGTCGCTTTGGATAAAAGCGTCTGCCAAATGAATTGTAATCTAATGTAATGTAATAAATATGTGTCCCCGGCAGGGTAGGATTTTCACGGCGGCCATGATGGCCATGGCCCCACAAATAATTGTACGTCCTACGGCCACGATGGCCTTTGGGCCCCTCACACTGTTAAAATCTCGAAGTTGCTTTAAAAGCGTCAGAACAGTGGTTTCTGAACTGCGTTATGCTGCGTTCACAACGGACACGATGCGAATATTCGCATTGCTCTAACCGCTGTGTTTACTCCTGTCATTCAAACAGGATGCGCTAGAGAAGGGGCGGGGCTTATACCCATGTAAATACTGTGGTGGAAACCAACTACGACAAAATTAACCTATTTTACCGTGATTTAATTGTAATTTCAATGATGCTGAAGTAACTAAATACTAATAACGGCTAGTAAAAACCATGCTTTGACAAGTGTGCAGACAAGACGGCAGGCGAAAAACCTTTTAAAATGCGCGTTTTCTGAATGGAGATCGGATCGATCAGGCTAAACTAACGTTGTAGCTGCTCCGTCCAGGGTCCAAACTCACAACAACGTCCTAAAGACAGAATTAAAGCAGCGACTGTATTCACCATGACACAGACAGCCTGTGTTTTGTACATGTTTAACTTTTGTCCAGTTCCTGAACAGATATGAGGAGCTGATTAAAGACACACACACACACACACACACACACACACACACACACACACACACACACACACACACACACACACACACACACACACACACACACACACACACACACACACTTTTGCATTTCAAAGTATTGCTTGTTCATACAGTTGAATGTTGGAGCTTCACTGTGCACTGCTGAATGATGTATGTGCAGAGTTTGACCCTTGAAGGCTGTTTCTTCTGCTCTGAAATGGAATATATTTGTTACATATTAATAGAACTTTAGATTTTTTGATTTGATTTTGGATTTGTGAATGGGAGAAGTAGTAGATGGAAAACATACCAAACACTAATTATTCAAAGTAAAGTATTTCATTTTATATACGGTAATACTAAGGAGGCATAGGCCTATATGATGATATAATGTTTGACGTTATTGATATTAAAAAAGTGATTTGTTTTCCATGTCATTCGTGTGTTTTCTTATCAGAAAGTGAAGTTATTTATTTGTAAGCTCCAAATTCAAATGTTTCCCTCAATGGCCTTTGTGCCCTGCCATGTGGCCTTTCCGCCCTGAAAAAATGTGTGACACCAAAGGCCAAATGGCCTTGTCCCTAAAATGACGACAATTCAAGCCGGTCCCCGGTGTGTCAGGGAACTCACAAAGTGTCAGAAAACAAAACCCTCTCTCTTCCTCCGTACCCAAATCTCTAAACACGGGGGGTACAACGGAGCTGATCCAGATTTGCGTCCGATATGACGTGGACCGACGGCAAAGTTGTTATCAGAAACAATGCCTGACGTGTTTTGGATGTAATATGGTCTTTGTTNGGAGGCGGGCAGCGTCAGGTAAAAAAAGTTATTTAGCCTTCCCAAACCTGAGCCTCACGCGCCGCCTATGGCCATTAGCAAGCATCGCTAACACTCAGAGCTAACCTGTAATGGAGAGAGTACATGTGTAAAAAAGCAGGAAATAAAAAAAGGAACTCACCTTGTGGTAAACCCGCAAGAGAAAAAGCATTTGAGCTCCATACTGTTTCAGAAATAATCTTTGATGTGGTTTGGAACATGATATGGCGTTTAATCACGGCAGAATCTGCCGGTAGAATTCTGAGCAGGCACAAGCTCCCCCTTTTAGGGATGTCTAAAATGCATGATCTGTTTGGTATTTTGAGCAAAACACATCATAGACATGTTTTATATATTTTTATATATCTGAGACCCATAATATATGCCTAAATATAGCATAATAGGAGACCTTTAAGGCACTGTCCCCC